ATTAAGGCAATTGCAGTTATGGGAGAAGGGAATTAATGCAAATTTAGGTCTCCTTTTCTTAATGCTAAATATATTTAATGTTTATTTCTTTTGATTTTGGGTTGAAATATGACCCTGACGTTTTCTTGACAGGTTTCATGAGAGACAACCACCTTCCCAAACGTCACTTACAACTGCCTTCAGGATAAAGCATTTCATGCTGAACTGTCAAAATGTGAGACCAGTAGGGAGAATGTCAAAGAGTGAAAGAGAAACAGGCTAATACTGGAGATGTTTGAAATAGCTGATTCCTATTTTCTGGTTGGAAATGAGAGGGTTGAAAAGCAGAATGGAAAAAGGTGAGAATATTGAGTTGGAGGGGAACAAACAGCGGCAAAGCGGTCCACTTCAAACCGGTTGCTTAGGATAAAACAGGCCTCGGCATCATCCATCCTGCAGCCAATCACGACGAAAAGAGGTTAGAGAAACAGGGCCAGGTTCCATAACAGGGGAAAATGGAAGGGGGAAAAAGAGAGAAAGACAGTGAACAGAAATTAGTTTCCAAAAGTGCTCATCTGATATCTGTGGCATGCTATGAATTACCTCAAAATATAACTCCAACTCATCCCTCAGGAAAAAATAATAATAATAGGAAGTGTGAGTTGTAGCTGATAAAAAATGTTTTCTTAACCTGTTAGCGCTGCTATGCTAAGCTATCAGGCTAAGCTGTTAGCTTGCTACCTGAAAACTAATTGAAAAGATCATATTTCACGATTAGGACTAAATACACAATTTTCCATCAGGCACCTATCAATTTAGTAGACACATTTATTAATAAAGGTTTGCACTTAAGTGCATTAGAAAAAATATGAGCTACACACTGCTTTTAAAACCTTTGGTGAACATTGCAGTGACTGTAAGTGGAGTACTGTAAATTAGTGAAATTTATTGATTATGAGTTAATGAAATGAATGTACTTAAATAGATAATACATATATATATTTCATCTTAAATATATTTAATCACACATAGGTGCATTATAGCTCAACCTGCAATGTTCCTCTACATAACTTGCAGATATGCTACATAAGCATGGTAAAAAAAATAATGTACTAGTAGTAGTTTCTATTGCAATATTGTGAACTACCGTACAACAGAACTTACTAGGGGTGTAAATCGGATGGTTCGTCACGATACGATATCGATTCTCATACCCAGCGATACGATATTTGCAGATACCTCAAAATTCTATGATACGATTACGATTCGATTCGATACAGGATATATCGATATTATGATATTATATATCTATTTTAAACAACCATCTACATTTTTATTAACTCACAAATGCAACCAAAATATATAACATGAACATTTATCTGAAATTTTCACATCCTGTATCTCAATTGGGACATTCACAACAACAAAAATAGGCCTACACATTTTTTTTTAAATAATAAAGAAAATAAACAATTGGAAAAACATTCCAATTCCAAACATTCCAAAACACACAAATATTTTCTACAGATAACCAAATTACAAGCAATAGCAGAAAATATATACAATAGAACAAAGACACAAGTTCAATAAACAGTGCTTTTCAGGTTTTTCAGCTCAGTCTAAAATTAATTTTCAGGTACGCTACAGAAATGTAATAATCAAATGTAAAATAACTGCATAGTCTTCACTGTATAAATTAAATACGCTCCATCCACAAGAAAGCCAACTGCTCAAACTACGGGAAATCCAAGTGAACAAAGCTTCGTTAAGACGGTTTTACAAAGAGGCGTCAGAATACACATGGCTTCAGTCGGGTTATCAGAACCTGAGATAACTATATGTGAAATTAAGTTCTATGAGCAAACTAAAAGGTGGCATGGAGTTCACAAGACCTCTGAACATGTCCTGTGGTCTCTGGCACCAAGACATTAGCAGCAGCAAATCATTTAAGACCTGCAAGGTGCAAGGTGGAGCCTCAATGGATTGCATTTGTTGGTCCAGCACACCCCATAGATGCTCAATCAGATTGAGATCTGGGAAATTTGAAGGCCAAGGCAACACCTAGAACTCTTTGTCATGTTCCTCAAAAACCATTCCTAAACAGTTTTTGCAATGTGGCATTGTGCATTATCCTGCTGAAAGAGGCCATTGCCATTGCGAACATGGTCTGCAACCATCTTTAGGTAGGTGGAACGTGTCCAAATAACATCCACAGGAATGCAGGACCCAAGGTTTCCCAGCAGAACATTGTCTAGAGCAAAACACTGCCTGCGTCAGCCTGCTTTATTCCCATTGTGCATCTGCTGCAATCTCTTCCTCAGGTAAACAACACACACGGACTGGGCCATCCACCTGATCTTTTGATGCTTTTGGAGGTAGATAGGGGTCATCATGGGCACTCTGACTGGTCTGCAGCTACGCAGAAAACTGTGTGTTCTGACACCTTTCTATCTTGGCCAGAGTTAAGTTATTCAGCAATTTGAGCTATTGTAGCTTTTGTGTTTGGACCAGATGTGTTGGCCTTCGCTCCCCACATGCATCAATGAGTCTTGGGCGCCCATGACCCTAACGCAGGTTCACCAGTTCTCCTTCCTTGCACCACTTTCGGTAGGTACTAACCACTGCATACCGGGACACCCCACAAGACTTGCCGTTTTAGAGATCACTGCCATCTCTATTTGGCCCTTGTCAGAGTCCTCAGATCTTTTCACTTACCCATGTTCCTGCTTCCAACACATGAAATTCAAGAACTGATTGCTCACTTGCTGCCTAATATACCCCCCTCCCCCCTCTTTGGCAGGTGCTAATGTAACGATATAATCAATGTTACTGATTTCACATGTCAGTGGTTTTTCTTCGTCCACCACTGGTGTGTAGATATTGGTGGTGATGTGGATCATGTTGGTTGTCTTATGGACGGCGTGTGTTGTGGATTGTTTGGGTGATATTAGCAGTGAGTTTCTTTTATGTGTTTCTGTGCAAAAGCGCTCAGACGCCTGTTTAACAGAGGGCGTAAATGTCTGACAGAAGTGCTTTGCTCCTGGTATTGAGTACATAAAGGGATTCTCAGCTAAGATTCGAGGTGTTTTATTGCGAGTTGTGGGTAATGTCTGCTATTCAGAGGCTTTCAGGCAAGGGTATTTGGGAATTGAGATTTGGCACTGTTTAATTGCAATAGAAAAGCTTCGAATAAAAAAAACCCATTGCAATGTGTGCACAGGGAGCGATGGGATACGGAGGCTGCCGTCAGTCTGTGTGGTGAGATGTCTCTCTGCGGGCCATGAGCC